GAGGGACACCCCATGAGTCCACCGGCCTGACCCCTTTTCAGCTACGGACCAATAGTCTGAGCTGCGTAGCCTTGCCAAGCCTGAACGATGAGATGACCCTTGCACGATGAGCCACGAGGGCAACAGTCAAGAACAAGGCTCGGCGCCACTTAGAGTTAATGGAAAGAGCCCTCCCCCGGTACGCCCGAAAAAGACAACGGATGAACGAAATGGCCCACGAACGACAAGTCCGGAGCTATGAGGCCCGAAATGGGAATGTTGGGCCTCAGCCGCAGTATAAATTAGGGGACATAGTGCAGGTAAGGAAATGTGCTCGCCAGGGCAAGTTGGCGCCACGATTCTTCGGGCGATTCTACGTGGTCGAGCTCGGTCCCAGCGGAGTGAACACGGTGCGGCTTGCACCGGAGGTCTCGGGAAGCCGATCGGCTCGACCGATCATTCGACATGTGTCCTATCTTCGTCCCTTACCTCCTTCTCCGTCTCTCCCCTCGTCCACGTCGTCCCTCGATTCTGAAGAGGACGACGATGATCTCGAATTCGAATACTTTGATTCTCCTTCCTCTCACCTTCGTCTATACCTTCTCCCCCATCGCCATGAGCTTTCCTACCGAGCAGGTCATTAGCGAGCGTCTAATGAGACCTGGGGGCCATATTTCATCGATCCGGCAGGTACAACGACCACAAGTGAATCCCGATCTGCTCTGTTTCACAGCCTTTTTTAGTACGGCGGTCATCCACGTAGCAGCGGAATTTCGATTTGTACGGACCAGCGGTCGAACGTGGGTGTTGGCCGAGGTGTCGACTTTTCTGTGGCTGTCTCCAGCAAGCGTCAGCCACGTAACAGTGATCGTTGCCTTCACCGGTGACGTTACGGCGTTGCATCCATCCGTTCATCGAAGCACTCTCCGACAGCTGCGACTCTGGGCACGGGACCTCACGGATGCGTGGATCCAGCTGTTAGCTCGGCCAGGCGATCAAATCGATTCCACCAACGACAACGACCTCGACCAGCTTAGTCTCCCTCTCACTACGTCGGAGGTCATCATCCCGAAGCTTCTTCCCTTCGCACCGCCTCAATGAACCGGCACCGCCTCTCGACCTTCGGGCTTCCCTCTGATTTCCTTACTTTTTGGCAGTCCGCTACGGACGTCCCTTTCGCTTTTCGGATCAAGTAATTGGACGTGCTGATCCTCGACGTCAGCAAGTGGGCGGAGTGGTGGAATGCGTACGTCTCGCTCAACTTCTGCCTTCTCGAAGTGGTGTTCCATTTGGCAGAGCCGGCCGATAAGGACGAGGAAGTCCCCGATGATGACGTGGGGCCTACGTGGCATCCAAGGCCACGGATCCTGCGGCCTAGGCTGCGGCCGAGGAGGCCGGCCGCGGGCCTGTGGCCGGGTTTTCGCGCGGCCGTGCCACGGCCAGGCAGCGGCACGCACAAGCAAACGGCGCGCGCGCAACCTGCGCACGTCGACCGCTAACGGCCTGCATTAAAAAAAAAAAAAAAATTGGAATTTTGGAGGGGTTGTTTTTGGTAAGTAGCAAAATAAATAAATAAATAAATAAAAAATAAATATTCATTTAATGATTGTCTTTTCTAATGAGTGATTGATTGATTGATTGGTTGGTTGATTGGTTGATTGATTAATTGATTGATGATCTATGTATCACCCGCGGGCCATTTGACCGCACGCGGTCGACATTCCGACCGCAGCGGGCGATCGCCCGCGGCCAAGTGCGGTCGGAAAACCCTGACATTTTTAAATCCTAGGATAAAAAGGCCAAAAAACAAAACAAAATATGGGTTGTAGGTTTTTGTGCGCTCCATAACCGTATATTTTTAGTTTATTTTTTTACTTTTTTTTGTGTTTAAAAAAAATGAAAAACAGAAATCCCTCAGGCAAAAGTTCTTCACTTTATTCTTTTAGAAAGAAAAATAAAGGATTTTGTTTGATTTTTATCTCAAATTTGGTAACGAATTTTGATATGACCCCAAGGCAAAAGTTGTTCAGTTTATTTTTTGGCATAACATATATTGTTTTCAATTTTTTCTGAATCATTTGTTTTTTTTTTCTTTTTTGTTTTTTCATAACCGCGGGCCGTGGTCATGACCGCGGTCTGGCGGCCGAGACCACGATCCGCGGTCATACCCGCGGCGGCGGGCACAACCGTGAGGTATTCATAGTTGATGATTGATTGATTGATTGTTTTTTTTTTTTTTTTTTGATTGATTAATTGATTGATTGATTGATTGATTGATTGATTGATTGATTGGTTGGTTGGTTGGTTGGGGGAGGGTCATCCCCCCCCACCGCCACACGCACACACACACACACTCACACGGCAAACGAGTTCGCTGCCTTGCTCTTATGTGGATGAAATCTTGGTGCGTTCGAGCTCTTTGCTTTGTACATGACTATCTCGACCTCTGCACAAACGAGTTCACTGCTTTGCTCCTATTTGGATGGAATCTTGGTGCGGTCGAGCTCTCTTCTTGGTACATGACTATCTGGACCTCTGCGCGACTCGTTTGCGATATCATTGGCAAACGAGTTCGGTGCTTTGCTCTTATGAGGATGAAATCTTGGTGCGTTCGAGCTCTTTGCTTGGTGCCTATGTGACACCCGCGGCCTAGGCCGCGGGCATTTCGGCCGCTGCGGCCGAGATTCTCGGCCGCGGCCGCGGCCAATGAGGCCCAGTCTGCGGCCCGGTTTTTCAAATTTTTTTTCTCCCCCTAAAAATACGTAAAAAAAAACAAAAAAAATATGGGGGTGTAGGGCTTGAAAAACCCTACACTCCTATATTTATTATTTTTTTGGAATCCAACTTTGTTTAAGATTTTTAAAAAATCAAAAACTAAAATCAATTTAAACAAAATTAAAAAAATATGTATAAAGAAAAGCAAGAATTTTTTTTTGCCATTTTTTATCATGAGATATATGGTCCCTAAGTACACCTGTATTTTTTTTGAATTGGATTTTTGTTTTTTGCAGGGAAATGAGGTGCTTTAAAAAAATAGAGATGCAAAATTTTAAAAGAAAAAAAAAAAAAAGGTTTGATTGATTGAGTGTTATTGTGTGTGTGTGTGTGTGTGTGTGTGTGTGTGTGTGTGTG